ATACCTCCTGCAGTAATCCAATACTTCGAAGGCGAAGGAAGCTCCAAGGTGGGTGTACTAGAAGCGGAAACGAAATGGTTAACGCACCCCTGCGCCATTACTCCCCTTGCAAAAATTGACACTTCTGTGGACTGCAGCAACATTTGCAACGCATGCCCTCCCCCTACTCAATGACACCCGAAAATCAATTCAGCTGTTAACCAAACAGAAAAAATTTGAACATGAACATACATAAACAATGTAAAAATGATTCTGGCCACCACAAAGAAGCTGAGTTTCAGTTTTTGACGTGCCTAAAACCACTGAAAACTTAAATGTGTTTTGTTGACCGTTTTTTTTTCTGAAGGATTTCATCAGGTTGGTCCATAATTTCTGAGCCGCTCTAATTTATTTCTATCAAAACGTTTGGAAAAATCTCGAAGGTTCAAAACATGGCTCATAACGTAGCATCCACGTCGACCAACTTGAAAAGCTAGCCAGCTCATTTACACGCTGCCCTCCGTTGATAACAGTTCAACCTTCTTGGAACCTATTTCAGTGTCCCACCTTTTGCTAGTACCGATCAGGGTAATCCCGAGATCAGGCTGGAGAAAGGTTCCACAGAGAGGTAGGTGGGTACGCCCTTTCATAGAGCACCGCTGTTACAGTCTATTCAGGTGTGGCTTCTTTATTAGATGAAAACCCGCACACCGGCCATTTCATTACTCTCAGCATCGAAGCTCTGCGTGACGCCATTGAGAAGGAATCTGAACAGGTTAGCCAGTCGTTTGGCAGTATGTCTTCAAGATGGCAAGATGACTGTACTAACAAATTCCCATGGAACTCGTTTAGAGAATGGTGGTTGACTTCCCCTGTGTTTAGCTCGCACCAACCATAAAAACGATTTGGTATCTCTGTTTTTCTTAGGCCGCGTTCATAGTTCGCGACTTGGGAGATTAGGATAGTAGGCGACAGGATATTAGGATAGTAGTAGAGTAGGAGATTGCGCTGACAAGATTGGATACGTATCGATTGAAATCGCTGGAGAGTAGTAGATTGGGACTTCAAGCGAATAGATCAATACATATCTAATCTTGTCAGCGCACTGTCTTATTCTCCGGAGTCGCGAAATATGAACGCGGCCTTATGGAGAGTTCATAGTTGGCAATCGTACGTGCGATTAGGCGAATAGTCGAGTAGTTGATTAGGCGAGTAGGCAATAGATACGTATCAATTAGGCGATTAGACGAGTAGGCGAGTAGTCGATTAGGTGATGAGAGAAGGATACGTATTGATTTGTTGCTCCGCCTATTGAGCGTGTCGACTTTGCGATTAGGGAGTATTTTTGCCACCAATTGCAGGAGCGATGGGAGATTACGAGCTGATGGAGCCGAATGATCTGTGAATCGGCGGTTGTAAATTCCCTCACTCGCGCGCTCCCTGCCACAATGCGATTTTGCACAATCGCAAAGTTCTGACATCGGCCATTTCGAGCGATCGGACCAATCGCCTACTCGCTACTCGCCTTAATCGAATACGTGGTTTTCCCATTCAGACGGAATTCGCATAATACGACTAATCGCTCTTACTCCCCGCACAATCGCCCAACTACTGAACGCTCGATGGTTTCATTGCTCCTTCGATGACTGGTAGTGCATAGGATTGCTGATTTGAGAAAGGGGGTGTATGTGGCTAACTATTCCACAATAGACGATTTGGTTCGAGTGCGCAAATTAGGGTGTCCACACAGCTTAGGACCAACCCGCCAAGGCAGCTTCCTCTAAATTTCTCTTGAAATACGAGAAGAATTGTGCGCGGGAAGTCTCAATCTACTACATATTAGCATAGTTAATGCGGAAGCTAGCTGTCACAGCCTGATCAGATGGTTTCAACATAAAGCGGAGAACAGAGACATGAATTTATTTTAGAGCCACGCATAGTAAAACGTAAAAAATAAGTCATTAGGTCAAAACATACGTCTCCCAAAACTTTAGGACTAGTGGGCGGGACTCTTTTCATATTCGCCTCATATTCCTAGCCTCGTGTCCACAGGATAGTCTTTTTCTTTCGTTGTCTAACTTACTAACTTGGGGATAAATTTCACGCTGACCAACTAATCTCGAAAACGACGTCCAATCTTTTCGGTCAGAACTCGATGGAATTCCGCAAAAGGACTACTGAACTGGCAGTGACTTGTAGATAAAAGAGCTGCAATTGTGTTGAACAGATATATAATGAATTCGATAATATATAATCTTTAATTGTATAACATCGTATAATGTATGTAGAACTAGCGGGTTTCCTCAGAAAACATATGGACCAACGATTGAGCTACATGTAGGATGTGCTGCCTTGTGAGCTACCTGAAATTGGTTGGGCAGACGAAACCGTTTTGAGTATGTTTTTCGGTTCGGATGGAGCAAAATGCCCTCCCTGGGCTCATACCCCTTTCCTCCCCCCCCTTAGCTCAACAGAACCGAAATGAGAATTTGGGCACATGCAAAACCGTCGGTAGAGGGTATGCTCGATTTCCCAATATGGAAAGCGCGCTTATGCAACACGCCTATACACATTACTACATTGATTCCACGATGACGACCTATATTTCATTTTTCACAGATTATAGCTAAATCTTCACTTTTATAGCTCAATGGCGGGCTAAGTCTAACCATAAGAGAGGCGAGGGCATTAGAAAATAGGAAATAGGGTAACGGCACTCTGACGTACCACAAGGCTTGACCTCTGGCCATGGAAATCACATTTATATTAGGTATTCCTTTTATTATTGTGCTTACTTCCTTCGATTCCGATAATATATCATCATCATCTCGTGACGTCACTGTGTGCTCATTCGCTCACAGTATCCAAAGATCATACACCCCTCCCCCCTCCTGTCCTCTGACTTGTAAGGCATGTTTAATTAACCCTTTGACGACCGTGTGGCCCGCCGGGGGCCACACTTTCACTTAGAGGCGACTCGTTTTTCGTCATTTATTTGGCATTTTTGAGTGTTTCAAAGCTGGCTGTATACATTATGGAAAGCGCAAAACAATATGCTAGTTACTAATAGTGAAATTGTTTGAGTGTTAATGGATATTGACGAAAAAATTTAAAAAGAAGTGAAGCAATGCACGCACAACGGCGGTCGTCAAAGGGTTAAACATAGCGTGCGCCCGTGATAGCATTTCGGATTTCCATACCATTTTTATAGAATTCGAAGATTATTCGTTAAAAGATGCATGTTTGCCTTCGCTTTTATCAACAGATCTTTGAAAAAGTTTTAATCCACCATTTTCAAGAAAAAGTAATTAGTAGAGCGGAATCTAGGCTGAAGGAAGCCTAAAGGATACCAGCCAATCATACTTATTTAGCTCAGCCTGGGTTGCCTTGGCGTGTGAGGTCGTAGCGACGACCAACAATTGATCCAATAAACTTATTGACTTTGTATATCATTAAATTGTTTCGTTTGTGAAACCAAAATTGCTTTTATTTTTGTTTTCCGATCTCAATATTGTTATATGTACTTTTTTCAAAATTTATTTGAGGGGTGGGATTCAAAGAGTAGTTTAGTCTCCGTTTCGCAGTATCCTTTTCTCCAAGTCCACAATTGTAATCGGGATTGACTGGAATCGGTCAAGAGCCTAGCATAGTTCCATATAATTACTGGCTTTTGGACTACCTCCAGCTCCTCTCAAATGAAAAAAATCGAGGCAGAAAACTATTTCAAAAAAGGCAGTTGACGCTTCAGGTTCCTGCTCTTGTTCTCCAAAGAGGAGGGATTTGAATGGCTGCCGTGCTGCCTAACCGTGGATGGGGAAGGTGCACATCGCTGGTGGTACGGACTAGATTGATTTTAAAATAGTTACAGAGGAAGGAGCGGGATACTTCGCGGTAAACCTGATACTACTGATGCTAACCATAAGCTCAATGCCTCCCTCTCCCCCCGCATGTACATACACCTTGGTCGTCGCGTGTAAAGTGGTTTATGCTTCCATTCCGTAGTGCTAAATTCGACCCGTTCAGAATTTCGATGCCTCCAACGACGATCTCACGAGATGAAGTGCTCAAGTTTGAAACAATTCTCCTAGATGCTGATGGTACCCTATGGGAAGAAGACGCACCAATTCCTGGTGCCGTAGGTTTTGTTTCTGCTCTCCGAGAAGCAGGAAAACGCATCATTATTGTGAGCAATAATCCAAACAGATCGATGGACGAATATTTGTCTAGAATAGAGAAAATGGGATTTCAAGGCATCACAGAAGAAAATGTTATCAATCCCGGTCTTGTTATGGGTGCGTACTTTCGTGATCGGCCGGATTACGCCCGGCAGCCGGTGTATCTCTTGGGTAACGAAAACGTTAAAAATACGCTGGAAAGCATAGGTAACGTCTGTTGTTTTGGAACAGGACCAGATTTAGAGAGGAATTCAGCAGAAGATCTTTTG